TTTCTCCATTGGCTCCGGCCCTAGCAGGCATGTGAGTGTTCACCTCCTACTCTGGGCCCAGAATTCCTAGGGCTTTTACTCCTTATCAAACTTCAAGGCCTTTATGGGCTTTTCTGTGCCCATGTCTGGGGCTGGCCAGGACCCCAGAAGTACACTCTGTACCCAGCACCAATGACTAGCCTCACATGGTGACCCCCCCCACAGGCAAGTGGCCCTACACCAGCTTCCCAGCTGTTACTGGGGTCTGCAAGCGTGACAGCAATATTGACGCCATCCTCTGATGCTCAGAACAGCTGGGATCCTAGAAAGGAGGATTCATGAAGTCTGGGAATCTGATAACATTTAGCTCCTCTTGGGAGCTTAGTAAAGTGGTTTGGCGGAGTGAATTGGTGGCTTCCTCCTGTCTGCCTCAGTTTGTAAAGGGATTTTCCTAGGCATATTTTTAATCTCTTGTTGATTTCTTTTTTCTCTTTCTTTTGAAAAAATTTTTGTTTTATCATGCTTTGTCCTGGCTGAGCCACTAAGCTCTTTGTCCCCACTCCAGTTGGGCTCTAAATTTGGTGCCCAACACAGAGGAGGCAGAGGCAGATAAACATGCTGGTGTTGGAGTACCCACCCTCGTCTATGTGGTCCTGGAATGCTGAGAAGGTGAGGTCCAAATGATGCCTGGGCTGTTAGCATGAGACAGTGCTTAGAATCCATCATCAAATCCTGCCTTCATTCTGTACACGCTAAGGAACTTGGACACATTTACTTAGCCTCTCCCAGCCTCTGTGTCCCAATCTATAAAATGGGGTAATAGAAATAGTGTTGGCCTCTTAATATTGGTTTGAAGATTGAATGAGAAAATATACATACAGTGTTCAGTACACTGGCTGGAACATAAAGTGTTGGAGGCTGGTGGTTTTGAGTGTGTTTCAAGGTAAGGGTGGGTTCATATTTAATAGGTGTTGGTAATCTGGGAATCAGTTTTAGGTGCTGACTGGATCCTTGGTAGCAGGATGGGACAGGAGGTACAGCATAGGAATCAGCTCCTGGTCCCAGAGCAGTGGAGGGGCTGAGTAAGAGGGTGTGAGTAAGAGGACAAATGGGAAGACGCAGTTTTTCCTAGTTTGATTTCTTCTGCTTTTCTAAAGGAAAGGAAACAAATAAAGATCAAGGTTGTCAGGTTCCCTTTGAAGCTTTTTTGTCTCCTTCAAGAATTTCGCCACTGAGCACTGTGATCACATCTACCCAGCATTCACTCATCTTCCCTTCTCCCTGCCCTGTAGCCTGATGACTCTCAGCTGGTCATCCAGAGGCATTCTTTGGTCATTGTCATGGGTCCAGGAAGGGACTGGGCTGCAAAGCACGGTGGGATGTGTGTGCCCTTATTTGAGCTCAATCCTCCCTGATTGAGTCCTCTGAATGCCTGAGGTGTTTCTCTTCTCTGCCCCTTGCCCCACTTTAATAAAGACTGAGTCTTTTGTATCTTGAGGGTGGTTTTCAACGCAGTCTTTAGAGTCCAAGCACACTGGATTAAGATCTAAGCTTCACACCTGTTGTAGCCTGGGGCAAATCATGGAACCTCCCCAACTTCTGGTTCCCCGTCTAAAAATAGGGAATAATGGTACTTCATAGGTTTGGGGTGAGTACATAGTGGGACACTTTAGGGCGAGACAGCGGGAAGCACTGAAGCAAGCGGCTGTCCTGGCTTGGAGCAGGGGTAAGGTTGGAGGACCCTTTATTAGGGCACCTGTCATGTCCTTGCCCAAGCAGGAAAAGGGCTGATTTGTTTTCTTTTTCTCTGTGTGGAATGGCTCATGTCAAAGACCATCTGTCTTATACAGATCCCATCTTGTTGGAGGCTCTGTAAGTCCAGAGGGTGGTGGGGTCCTTTGCTTATCAGTGACCATCGGGCCTTCATGCCCACCTGTGCATCCTAAAGAATCAGCCTCAGTTTTCAGAAAGACACTAAGAAGAGACCAAATGTATTATCCTAGGTGGCCTGTACCTCTTAAGTGCCACCTCTTATCTCCTCATGACAAGACTCTGTCTGGGCGGCCCTTGTCTCTGAGAAGCAGCACAGGTAGAGATGCTTGGGGTTAAATCCTGGACTGTCAACACATGGCTCAGCCATTGAGCCTTTCTCTGGTTGGAAAATGGAGACAGTGTACCACCCTGCTGAGCAGGGGTAAGGAAGGATTTAGCGAGGTTGTGTGTGCATGTGAGGGACCTAGCATAGCACATAGCATAGCGTAGCAGGAGCTCAACAGGTCTGGGGTGCCAGCCAGATCTGACTGCAGACAGGGTGAGTCTGTGTGACTGCTCACAAGGGGGTTCACTGGGAGACAGGTTTAAAGATAGCAGGTGTGGGAGAGGCACATTCCAGCCCTGCTTTTGTGTTCTTAGGGTAAGTGCATAAAGGAGGGTGGGCTGCTTAGGACTGAGAGGGAGTTCCTCATCACTGCACATTCAGATTTCTTGCGATGCTGGGATCCTGGCCCCTGCCCATTTCAGCAGAGCCAGGAGATAGATGAAGTGGGGCATGGAGGCCTGAAAGAGTAGTTACCCCTTCTCACCAGTGCCTGGGAGAGGCTGTCGGTGCACAGAGCTGTCCTGAACAATTAGCCATTAGGACCAAGCAGACAGCACTAGTCAGACCAGGCTGAAGTTCTGTGGAAGACAGCGGCTTAGCTCCAAGTCTCTTCAGTCTCCAAGGCCAAGGACGGCCCCCTGGGCTCTCTCATTCCCCTTGCCTCCCTGCTGCTGTTCCGTTGTCAGTGAGACTGGCAGCCTCTCCAGGCTGCTGTGGCCCCACAGCAGTGAAATTGGCCTGGAGAAAGGGGAAATCACTGGGTCTGTTGCGCAGTAAGCAACTTAGCCCAGTTATTCTTCACCATTGTGAATTTGCCTCCTAGAGAATTATGTGTTTATTATCCAGGAACATTTCGATGTGGTGATGGGGAAAGGCCTCTTTATCTTCTTTAGGGCTGGAGATCCGATTAATGTACTCCTTGCCTCCATCTGTTATCTTTTGAAAGCCTTCCTGAAGATTTTGCATGATCCCTCAGTTTGGCTGGCTAACACAGGCTGTTGGGAGGAGGGGCAGGTGCCCCAGGCATGTGGGAAACAGACTGACAGTGTTTTGCAGTGACCACTGACTTTCCAAGTACTTGTTGGCTTCCTCCTGCTATACTTGGGCTACCTACTTCACAGTAGGTAGAAGTGCAAGGGTAGCTTTCCATGTCTCCACAGTGACAAAATTCAGTAATATCTATGTTTATTAAGGTTCCCCTCTGGATTCAGGGCTAGATCTGTTATTTAAAAAAAAAAAAAAAAAAAAAAAAAAAAGGTCTCCCTGAGACAAGGATTCAGTAGCAAGTAGATGATTTCTGTTCTGTCCCAATAGACATGTAAACATGAATGGGGAGTGGGAAAGTGAGAAAGGGAAGGGAAGGCAGCCAAAAAGGGTGTGCATCACGCTTGTTACCATTGTGGACAGCTGGGACTTAATCCCATAGGGGAAGCCCGGGAACCAGTGTAGAACATGTCTCAAAGCTAACCTGCCTGGGGGGTATGGGAGTGGTGTATTCACCAGACAGTGGTGTAGGTTGTCTGCTCATAAGTGGTAAAGGTGGTAGACACCCCCAGGCAATCAGAACTCCAGGACTTATGCGTTAACCACCATGCTGTTTCTAGCAATATGTTGCTCTGTCGGTCTCCAGCAAACCTCTCTTCCCATTTTCTCCCAGAAGGGTAACTCTGAAACCTGAAATACCCAGTGCAAGTCCATGCAGGCCAGTCTGTCCTGCCTTCCATCAACACTATTCTGGTAGGGCCTGAGAGTGGGGATAGGAAGATGGGGGTTGGGAGGGGTTAGGGATTGGGAGGCTAAGAGGACTTAGCAGCTAATTAGAAGCAGCCCCCTTGTCCCCTAGTCTCGAAGGGTGGTCTCTGTTTAGTTGCCAATTTACCCCAAAAGGCTCTCACCCTATGTTTCCTGGTTTATGAGCTTTGCTCTAATGCCTTGATTTCAGTGCTTCGCTGGGATTGGCCACTGCATATACAGCCAGCCAGGTCCAGATGTGGACCCTAGACATCTGCCTGTGGCCACTGCCCCATATTCCCACCTGCTGCCAAACCTGCCTAAGAGAGGGGCAGGTGGCAGAATGATCACTAGAGAGATGGTGAATACCTGGGGCTGAGATGCTCAACTTCTCGTGTTGGGGGTGAGTCTTTCCTCATCTCTGTGAGGGTCTTGCTATCTGATATTCCCTGGGTTTGTCTGTTTCGGCTTTAGCTTCTGTTGGAAGCTATTCTTTGATCAGGGCAAACTGTGTATCAGCTCATAGGCTATGCATCTGCCTCCCATCTCTCCAGAGAGGGACTAGTTTTGTTTTTTCTGAATTTTAATTTATTTCTTGTTTTCTCTTCCGAATGTTCTTGTTATTTTATAAATGGTGATTTCTTTAATTCTCTATTGTTTCCTTTTTAACTTATTTATTATGTCAAGCAAACACAAAATAATACAAACAGATAAAGAACCCCATCATCTTCCACAGTGATCAGTATCCTACTGTCCGGTTCTGTCTGTCTGCTTGCGTTGTTCGCTGGAGGATTTTAGAGCAAACTGCATTCATGTCCTTTTACATGTCACATTTATAAAGACTCATGTTCTTAGCTGGGTGTGGTGGTTCATGCCTATAATTCCAACATTTTGGGAGGTTGAGGCAGAAGTTCAGTACCAGCCTGGGCAACATGGCCAGACTCCTTTCTCTACAAAAAATTTAAAATTAGCCAGGCTGGTGGCCCGTGCCCATACTGCTAGCTACTTGGGAGGCTGAGGTGGGAGGATCACCTGAGCCCAGGAATTTGAGGTTGCAGTGAGCTGATATCGTGCCACTGTACTCCAACCTGGGCAAGGCAACAGTGAGACCCTGTCTCAAAAAAAAAAAAAAAAAAAAAAAAAAGGAAAGACTCATGTTTCTTATCTAATTTAAAAAAAAAAGACTCATGTTTCTTAAGTTATTTAATTTATTTTAAAAATAAATAACTTTATTTTGAATAAATTACAGACTTACAGAAAAGTTACATAAACCATTTCTTCCCATTTCCCCTAATATCAACATCTTACAGAGCACAGTATAATGATCAAAACCAAGAAATTCACAGAACACATTAAGCCACAGACCTTATTCAAATTCTGCCTACTGTCCCACTAATGTTCCTTTTCGGGTCCAGGATGCAAACCAGAATCCCACACTGCATTAAGTTGCTGTGTCTCCTTAGTCTCCTCCAATCTGGGGCAGCTCCTCCATCTTCCTTTGTCTTTTATGACCTTAGCTCCATAAGTAATGGCCAGGTATTTTGTAGAATATCCCTCAATTTGGGTTTAAGGTTTTCTCTATTATCTAACCTACATACCTTATTCAGAGTTAGAACTGCAGCTAGAACCAAGGATCCCCATTTAGAAATATAGATTGAAGTTACACATTTTGGGTAAGGAAACCACAGAAGTGTGTTCTTGTCCCAGTGCTTCATATAAAGAGGTGCGTGACGTCAATATGTTATTACAGGTGATGTTAATTTTGATTACTTGGTTCAGGGCATGTCTGCCAGGCTTCTCTACTGTAGTTTCTATTTTTACTTTTGTAATTAATATGCACTTCCTGGGGAGATACTTTGAGACTATGCAAATATCCTCTCATTATACTTTTCACCCGCTAATTTTAGCACCTATCAGCAGATCTTGCCTGCAAGTTATTACTGTGATGTTTGCCAAATGGTGATCTTCTATTTCCATGATTGCTTCTACATTTTTAAATTGGATTTCTCTAAGGAAGATCTGTCCCTTCTCTCCTATTTATTCATCTCAATATTGACTCATGGATATTTTATTCTATGGGTTATAGTTCATTACTATTACTTTTTAATTTTGGTACCAAAATTGTCCAAGATTTAGCTGTTGGGAGCTTTCATGCTAACTCCTGTGCCGTTTCACTGTCTCCCTATCATTTTTTTAAAAATAGTTTTACAAAATGTTCCAAGCTCATCTCGTACTTTCCCTGCCCTAGCCCTGGAATAAACTGTTTCTCGAAGGAGCTCTGGTTCATTTTTGTAGAGAAGGATTTTTAGAAACTGAGGTCTAGGTACTGGGTATACTGATTGTTACGGCACTGTTATTGTTTCCAGGCCCTCTTGGTGAACTGAACTTGGGATGTCTGTAATTCCAGCCATTTCCTTAGCTATGACAATTATCACTAAATACTTTGCAGAGAATCAGTGTCTGAAATTAGCACCTTGATATTTTGTGTGTACAACAAGTGTTTAAACTGCGTTTGACATAGTTCTTCTTGCAAATGGCAGTCCAGTCATTCCTTTAGTGTATAAACTCACAAATATTCCCACTGTTCTTCCTGCTCGTGTTCCTCCCTGACGCCTTCCTCTTGTCATCCAGGTGTGAGTTCCTCTTCAGTTCCCTGGCCTAGATCAGAGCTGAGGACCTCAGGGTGGTCTCCCTTCCATCCCGTGGTGAGACAGTCTCTCCTCCCTGTCTTTCCATTCTCTTCTTAAACCTTTTTGTCCTTTTTCTGATTTTGTCCTTTTTTTTTTTCCTTCTCCTAACCTCAAATATCAATGAACTGTCTCTCTTCCTGGTCTCTTTCTAGCTCCTGGCTTCTCCTCTTTCCTCCTAGAGAGCACATGTCAGAACTCCAGCTGAGGATGTGTTTCACTGGGCACACAGGTGTTCATTTTCTCTTGAGAAGAACTGTCCATACCATGGTGGTGGAAAGGATAGCTGGTTTCTATGGCAGGACCATGAGACACTGATCAAAAATGGTCATATCAGCACCTTAATGTGGTTCAGCACAGTAGTTCTTACCTGGTGGGGTGGTATGGAGAATGTCCAGTTGGGGGCATGCCTATTTGAAAGAGCATATGCAGTGATACAATTTTACATTGAAAAGTAAAATATAGAATAGATGTTGATATAAAATACCAACTTCAGAAAGTAAAGGTTGATGGAATCCACTGGTCTTGAGGGGCAGATGTTGCAGAAGAGAGTCTTATGAATGAGGGAGAAGAGGATGCTGAACTTTACCAGTCAGTTTGGGGCATGAGAGACAATCTCTTTATTATCAGTGGGTGTGTGGGTTGGAAAAGACTGAGGAAACACTGAGTTTAATTAGCTTTCTTAGCTTCAGGGTTTCTAGACTTACAGAGACACTCCCCTAGAGATGAACAGGGCTGACTGGAGGTGCTATTAAAACACAGCTAAGAAGGCAGACACAGAGCTGGAGGGTGGCTCTCTGGACACACTGGGGATGTTGTTAAGAGGAGGAAGAGGGCAGTGGATGCTGGGGGAAGCAACACGATCCGTTACATCATCTCTCAGTGCACTTGACCTGGACACCCAAGAAGCAAAGGGTTGGTGACTAACCAGGTCCAAGGTGCTACCGATGACACAGTGACAGCGTTCACTGTCTGGTATGTCTCCATCTTCCTTGGAAGGAACCTTCCCCTGCTTAGCTTTTAAGATCCTTTGTTTGAAATGACTGTGATGAAAAGTGACAATTCCTGCCTCAGTACTGATCTGTTTTTGCTTTGAGTCAGATAAAGGCGGCCAAGTGTGTCTAAAATGTTTTAAAATGCCAATGTTTTGTCTATATCCCAGTGGCCCTTTATTAACCATCTGGTGCCTTAAAACCTTTTTCTTTTCCTCTCTGCTATACACTGCACCTGTTAGGCTGAGCCTGATGGAATGAAACTGTGGTTTTTATACGTGAAAAGTGGTTTGAGTATCACCATTCATGAAATTCAACTAATACATCATTTCTGACCTCCACAGTCCTATAAAGTGGGTGTTGTACCCCCACTTTCGCTGATCAAGAGCTGAGTTCAGAAAAGACATACAGCAGGTTGAGGAGCTGGGGTTTGAGCCTGAGTCTTCTGTCTTTTTATCCTCGAACTTACCCAGACAGTGCATATCCTTTTCTGGGGTCTACCTGCAACCAGTAGTGCACTGGAAGCTCAGAGCCAGGCTGGTTTGGGAGACGATGTGATAGCTACTGATGGATCAGTGATACCTTTAAAATTGTCTGCAGAAGAGCAAACCCACAAGTCAACTAGGGAGTCAGCTTCCCGAGACTGAGGTGTTCTGACTATCCTGGATCCAGTCCACCCCTCAAGAGGGTTCGAGCAGCTCATCCACATCAGACTGGCCCACGCCCTGGATGGAACCAGGCAGGTGGATGGCAAGGCAGCGACCTAACTTCATGAGAAACAGAAGCTGCACAGCCAGGCCTGCTGGTGACCTGCTGACCTCACCAGTCATCCCACTGGGAGGCAACACTACAGCAGGTGTGTTTTAGAACACTTCCATTCTTAATCCTGATTTGCTGTGTGATGTTGGGCAAATTGCTTCTATGGGTGAAATGAGGACTTACTTTGTAGTTGTTAAGCTTTGTAGCAATGGAATTCCTTCTTAAGAGCACAGAACCCCTTTTTCAAATGAATTCTTATGGTCCCTGTATTAGTTTTCTAGAGCTGCTGCAACAAATTACCACACATTTGGTGGCTTAAAATGAAAGAGATTTATTGTCTCCCAGTTCTGAAAGCTAGAAGTCCAAGATTGAGGTGTCAGCAGGCCATGCTCCCTCTGAAGGCTCTAGGGGAGAATCCTTCCTCACGTCTATTTTGCTTCTAATGGTTTTGGTCATCCAGGCTGGTTCTTTGGCTTATAACTGCATCACGCCAGTCTCTGTCTTCATCTTCACATGACCTTCTGTTTCTCTGTGTGTCTTTTCTGTTTCTTTTAAGGGTAGTCACAATGGATTTATGACCCATCCTCATCCATTATGATCTCATTTCAAGATTTTTATCTAATTGCCTGTGCAAAGAGTCTTTTGCCAAATAAGGCCATCGTCTGAGGTTCTGGGTAGACATGATTGCCTGACTGGGAGTCACCTCTCCTTTCTTTCTTCTGAGAACAAAAAAATGAAGCCACTCCTTTGTATCCTGGCTTAGCTGTGCTTATATTTATTGCTGGCATCCTGCTTCACAGTTGATTGCTAAGCAGGTGAGAAGCTAAGGTCAGCATGATGCTTTATCCTGATCATCCAGGCACCCAGGAGCCAGAGAGGCATAGCGACATGTCCAGTGTCCCACAGCAAAGTGACAGACCTGATCTGAAGTTCTGCAGGGTTCTGGCTGGAACATTTGGCCCCTTGTCTTTCCCATATAATACGTGATAGGGAAGATTGACATGTATAGCATACTCCTATGGGCATATGGGTGTTGTTGAAACCCAAAAGATATTTTGTAGTGAAGTAAAGCGGAATAGTAACTCATACCAGCTGTTGCTATTAATAAGGCATAACTAACACGTAGTCTGCTCCCTGCTGCCCACAGCTTAGGCAGTGGGTTTGTGGGTTCTTGTACCAGCTAAACAGTGATCCTCATCTTCCTGACTCAAGATATATCAGAAAGCAACTGAGTGATGGTGATGTGATTATAAGGATAACATTGAGCCTACTCTCATTTATATACAAAAGAAATAGGAAAACATTTCCAAGCTTTTAAACTTACAAGTGGTAATGAGATTCATGGACTGCTTCTTTGGTTAAGAGCTACTTGGTTTTCCTCAAATCTGTTTGTAACCCAGAATCACCTAGGGGCTTGGTTAAAAAAACAACAACAACAACAGATGCCAGGGATACCTCAGGTTTTGGTCAAAATGAAGTAGACAAATTTATCCCAATTTCTCTTACTAATATAGCTAAAAACACTGGACATTATATATAAAACACTGGAAGACTGAAAGGTGGAGAAAAGAGCGGACCAACTAGGGACCCTGGAACTCACAGAACAACATAATAGTGAGTTATCTGGGCTTTCTTCTTGCCTCCTATATATTCTACCTTGGGAGCTAAAGAAGCCCCCAATCCAGGAATGCCAATGAGCCTAGAACAAAACAAAGCCCCAAGGAAGCTTCGTCTCTTTTGTCAAAGGACTGAAAGGAGGAGCCTCCTAGCAAAACATTTTTTTTTCTGTAAATACCCCATTTCTGCAAAACACCAGAGAAAATTGCCTCCCCCTCCACCCCTCAGTTTTACTAAAGGCCAAATGGATAGTGTATTAGTCTGTTTTCATGCTGCTGATAAAGACATACCCGAGACTGGGCAATTCACAAAAGAAAGGATTATTGGACTTGCAATTCCACAGGGCTCGGGAGGCCTCACAATCATGGTGGAGGGCAAGAAGGAGCAAGCCACATCTTACATAAATGGCAGCAGGCAAAGAGAGAGCTTGTGCAGAGAAATTCCTGTTTTTAAAACTATCAGATCTAGTGAGACCCATTCACTATCATGAGAACAGCATGGGAAAGAACCCCCCAACCCATGATTCAGTCATCTCCCACCAGGTCCCTCCCACAACATGTGGGAATTATGGGAGATACAAGATGAGATTTGGGTGGGGACACAGAGCCAAATCATATCAGATAGCCTAGACTTCCTCCTTTGCCTAGTGGTAACTGGCTGCCCCACACCCTCCCCACTTGATGGAAAGCCTAGACTTTCACCACCAGGGCCTAGTAGTAACGTATGTCCTTCACCACCATAGTCCCCTTGGAGCCTAGACTTCCATCCACACCCCAGGGTGTTAGTGGAGCCCAACTGCAGAACCTGGGTTTTGACCTACACACACACACTGTGTGCTGAGTATCCCCCACCCTCCCGGCCACGATGGTGTTGGTGGAGGCTGAGTAGAGAGCCTGGACGTCCACCTTCACCCAGCAATAAAGAGTCAGTGCTCTCCTTTCCTCTGCCAGCACAGTTTTAGCAGAAGCTACTAAAATTGAAAATTTAAGTAAGATCCAGAGTATCATAATATAACTGAAATTTCCAGGATAAATTTCAGCAAAAAAAGAAGTTATAAAGAACTGAATGGAAGTTTTAGATAGGAAAAATAGAGTAAGCAAAATTTTTAAATTACTGGATGGGCTCAATCAAGAACGGAGCGGACAGAGGAAGAATCAGTGAACATGAAGCCAGAATGATAGAAATCATCCAGTCTGAACAACAGTGAGAAAAAATACTGGAAAAAAATTAACAGAGCTTCAGAGACCTGTGGGACAATACAATTTAAAAAAAAATCTAGCATTGGTGTAATTGGAGTCCTAGGAGAGTAGTGTGGGGCTGAAAAAGTTTTCAAATAAATAATAGCTATTTCCCACATTTGGAGGAAGGCATGAGCCTACAGATTGAAGAATCTGAGCAAACCCCAAGGAGGATAAAACCAAAGAAACCCATGCCAAGGCACCTCAGAGTCGAACTTCAAAAAACTCAACAGCATCTTAAGAGCAGCAGGAGACAATGCATTACCTCCAGGGGAAAAACAATTTGAAGGGTGGCAGTTCCTCATCAGTAGTCACAGGGGCCAGAGGAGGTGTGACCGCTCATTTTTCACATACGGAAAGAAGGAAAATCTGTACTCCAAATTCTATACCCAGTGAAAATATCCTTTAGGAATGAAGCTAAAATCAGACATTTTGACATGAAGGAAAACTAAGAGAATTTGTTGTCAGGAGGTCCAACCCTAAAAGAATGGCGAACAAACAGTTCTTCAAAGAAGGGATAGAGGAATGGAAGGAAACCTGGAACATCAGGAATGAGGAACGAACATAGAGTAAAAATATGGGTGAATATAATAGATGATCCTTTCCCTCATGAGGAAATCATACTCGACAGTTGAAGCCAAAATTACTGTCTGATGTGGGTCTCATTATATGTAGAGGAAATACATAAGACAACTATATTGTAAAGGAACCTAGGTGGAGGTAAAGTTTCTACATTTATTCAAAAGGTAAAATGTCAGTACCAGTAGACAGTGATAGTATGATGCCTAAAGCAACCACTAGAATATCTATACCAAGAGATATACTCAAAAACACTACTGCTAAATCAAAGTGAAATTCAGGTAATTCACAAGAAGGCAGGAAAAAAAAGAAACAAATAATGCAGATGGCTGAGCCATACTCCAGACCTACTGAATCAACTTCCAAGACTGCTGCCTGGGAACAGGGATTTTTATTTAGCAAGTACTCTGGAGGATTCCAGTAATCAACCAGGCTTGAGAATATCTGGAGTAGACTAGTATTTTTTAAATAGCAAGTTGCCAACCTCATTAGTAGGTTGGAAACTTAATTAAGATGATTATGGGCAGCTTTTTTTTTTTTTTTTTTTAATTACCTTAGAATAAGAGTGTACTAGAAAAAAAAGGTGGCAGGGGGAAGCTAGAGTGTATTCTACCTGGTCAGGGTAATTCTCATTTCCTGAAATTTGGGAGTATATATTCATATATGTGGGCCCAACCTTTGGATAAGAGTAGGCCAGAAGAGATCTCATGCCTCCAGGAATGGCCTTCAACTAAGTAATGCCCGACAGGAGTTGACAGACAGACATCCCAGCTTCCATACTATACTCAGCATATGATCATGGGAGGAAGACCATGCATGGCATTAGCTGTTCATCAATGTGCCCTGTATGTATTGGCTTTGGTCCCTTCTCTGTCTCACTTTCCCTTTCTCCTACAAGTGTTTCATAGGATAATTTCTCAAAATGTATGGATTCAAATCCTTGCCCTTGACTCTGCTTCTTAGAGAACCTAGCTGAAGATAGCTTCTCTTTCTGGGCATGATTGGACTTTGATTTTTTCTATTGCAGGGAGGTGGAAATTGCATCAGGACCTAGTCACTGACGGTGCAGTGCCTGGCAGGTATCAGGTGTTACCTGTGCTCCTCCTGTGTCACTAAGGATGAGCTTCTTCCACTGTCTGAATAATCCTGGATCCCAGAGCAGGCAATATTCACAATATTGCAGGAAGAAGGAGTAAATGCCCATCCCTAGCCAGGCCTCTCTGTCGGTGTGTGTGTGGGAGAGGCCATTTAAAACCCTATTGGGTTTTTTGCCTCAGTATACAAAACATTTTTCAATGGTGACACCCAGCTACAATTATCTTACCACTGAGGGGATGAGATGCCACCCTCCTAAGGGATTCTAAAACTTAGTAGGCATGATTTCTAAAGGAGCTTTACGCAAGAGCAAAGCTTAGCTGACCTACCCCTGTGCTTACATGTGTGTGTCTCTCAGAAGTGGCGTACCAGAGTCTCAGTGTGCAACCTGGGAATAGTGTTCACAGGCCTCCGATGCCAGTTGTTTTCATTTAAGGAAGTCATTACCCGGCAGTCCAGGAGTGTCAGGCCCCTGCAAGGGATTTTCCTATGGCCTGTCATCATAGATATCTCTCTTGGTTAGCTTTTGCTGCAGCAGCAGTGCTTCAGCACAAACAGCCCCAGAATTTTAGGGATGTTTAATCAGCTGTTGGTCAGCCCAGATGTCTATGTGTTGGCTGATCTTGGCTGGGTTTGGCTGATGATGCCGCTGGAAGTGCCGCTTCTACACCCTGCGGCAGTTTCCTGGCCTGGCCCACGAGGCCCTCTTGGCTGGGCCCACTCAGTCATGGAGGATCAGCTGAGCCAGACAGGATATGGCTGTATCTCACTCCCCACTTGCATCTCACTCCTCTTAGGGCCAGCAAGTTAGCCTGAATACATTCTTCTTATGGCAGTGTCATAAAGAGGTCAAAGCCAGCCCAAACACTTTCCAAACCTTTGATTATGTTCTGCCTGCTGACATCTCAGTGGCTAATGCATGTTAAGTGGCCAAGCCCAAAGTCAGGTGTGGGGATGCATTCTCCAACATGCAGGTGATGGGGAGGAAGTGACTATTTTAAACAGTGGTCTAATCTATGCCTACCAACATGCACACTGGTTGCAAGGATCCAGTGCTGTAGCAGGCACACAGAGCCTTGTACGGTGCCTGGCACATAACAGAAGCTTGTAATGATGCCAGGCAGACTGTGCCACTCCTTTTTCTTTTCCTTCTCTCCTCCTGCAGGCTTCACCAGTCCTTGGGATGCCCATAGGGATGGGTGAGGCCCGACTGGCCTGTGGTGCTTCCCAGTGGCCGTCATCTCACTAGGGCCACACGGTGGCATTAGGATGCACCTCTCAGCGGTGTTCAACGCCCTCTTGGTGTCGGTGCTGGCGGCGGTCCTGTGGAAGCATGTGCGGCTGCGTGAGCATGCAGCCACACTGGAGGAGGAGTTGGCCCTCGGCCGACAGGCCCCAGACCCAGCGCCAACACTGAGAATCGACTACCCAAAGGCACTGCAGATCCTGATGGAGGGCGGCACACACATGGTTTGCACGGGCCGCACGCACACAGACCGCATCTGCCGCTTCAAGTGGCTCTGCTACTCCAACGAGGCTGAGGAGTTCATCTTCTTCCATGGCAACACCTCTGTCATGCTGCCCAACCTGGGCTCCCGGCGCTTCCAGCCAGCCCTGCTCGACCTGTCCACCGTGGAAGACCACAACACCCAGTACTTCAACTTCGTGGAGCTGCCTGCCGCTGCCCTGCGCTTCATGCCCAAGCCAGTGTTCGTGCCAGACGTGGCCCTCATCGCCAACCGCTTCAACCCCGACAACCTCATGCACGTCTTCCACGACGACCTACTGCCACTCTTCTACACACTGCGGCAGTTTCCTGGCCTGGCCCACGAGGCACGGCTCTTCTTTATGGAGGGCTGGGGCGAGGGTGCACACTTCGACCTCTACAAGCTGCTCAGCCCCAAGCAGCCTCTCCTGCGGGCACAGCTGAAGACCCTAGGCCGGCTGCTATGCTTCTCCCATGCTTTTGTGGGCCTCTCCAAGATCACCACCTGGTACCAGTATGGCTTCGTCCAGCCCCAGGGCCCGAAAGCCAACATCCTCGTCTCGGGCAATGAGATCCGGCAGTTTGCACGGTTCATGACGGAAAAGCTTAATGTGAGCCAGGCAGGAGCCCCGCTAGGTGAGGAGTACATTCTGGTCTTTAGCCGAACCCAGAACAGACTCATCCTGAATGAAGCAGAGCTGCTGCTGGCACTGGCCCAGGAGTTCCAGATGAAGACAGTGACAGTGTCCCTGGAGGACCACACCTTTGCTGATGTCGTGCGACTGGTCAGTAACGCCTCCATGCTAGTCAGCATGCATGGGGCCCAGCTGGTCACCACCCTCTTCCTGCCCCGTGGGGCAACTGTGGTGGAGCTCTTCCCATATGCCGTCAATCCCGACCACTATACTCCCTATAAGACACTGGCCATGCTGCCTGGCATGGACCTCCAATATGTAGCCTGGCGGAACATGATGCCAGAGAACACAGTCACACACCCTGAGCGGCCCTGGGACCAGGGGGGCATCACCCACCTGGACCGGGCTGAGCAAGCCCGTATCCTGCAAAGCCGTGAGGTCCCACGGCATCTCTGTTGCCGGAACCCCGAGTGGCTCTTCCGAATCTACCAGGACACCAGGGTGGACATCCCATCCCTCATTCAAACCATACGGCGCGTGGTGAAGGGCCGGCCAGGACCACGGAAGCAGAAGTGGACAGTTGGCCTGTATCCAGGCAAGGTGCGGGATGCACGGTGCCAGGCGTCAGTGCATGGCGCCTCCGAGGCCCGCCTCACCATCTCCTGGCAGATCCCATGGAACCTTAAGTACCTGAAGGTGAGGGAGGTGAAGTATGAGGTGTGGCTGCAGGAGCAGGGAGAGAACACCTACGTGCCTTACATCCTGGCCCTGCAGAATCACACCTTCACTGAGAACATCAAACCCTTCACCACCTACCTGGTGTGGGTCCGCTGCATCTTCAACAAGATCCTCCTGGGACCCTTTGCAGATGTGCTGGTGTGCAGCACGTAGTGAGTGGGCCATAGCCTGGCCTCGGGAGGGTGGCTCCTGCAGTTCAGCTTCCCTGGGCCTGTTAATCCCACTGTGGAGACTTCTATTGTCTATTTATTGAGCAGGCCTGTGCCTCCCTGTCATCTTGTTGCGTCTGGGGTGTGGTGTCACAGCACTCCTCTCTGCCCTGGAGATATGGGACACAGCCCCCACCTTCTCCCATTCTGAACATTCATACCCCTGGAGAAGTTCCTTAGTAAGGAGGAGGAAGAGGAGAGGAAGGAAAGAAAGAATCACAAGGAACCTCTGGCTAGGTGATCCTGATGTTTCCTACTGAGTTTTTCTGGTATCCAGATTTCTGGAAACCAAGTACTCATGTGCTATTTGATTGGGTGGTTCATCTGCTTCCATCCCAGTGAAATTTACTAATAGCCCAGTGAAGGGTATGTTTGGAACATTCATTAAATGATTCTAAGCATCTTGGTCAAGTTTTCTTATTGGATGGGAAGAAGGGGGGCTGGTCATCAAAACCCAGGTGCCCTTTAATCCTGACCGTTAGCTAGGGAGACGTGGCAATGGGAAAGCGTCTAGAATGGTGAAGTGAGCAAGCTGGTTGGATTTCATCTTGACTAGCTGGACTAATATCACAGTTCTACCTACATGGGATGAAAGCCTAGAAGTAGGTGGGAGAGGGCTGAGGGGAGGAAGAGCTGTATCTACCATAGGTTTTTCTTAGGCTCAACTAGACATTCAGACTTGCAAGAGGACCATACCTGGCATCGGAGGTGCTTAGAAGGATGGAGATAGATGCTTAGTGTACCAGCAGGACCGTGCCAACAGTTCCCTTCCACAGGAGCAGTCTTCACATCAGTAGTCCTGAAGGCCACCTTGGTTCAGAAGCCCATTCCCTATAGGAGTCAATGTGTTTTCAACAACCCACAATCAGAATTCGCAGGGCCCCTCAAAGGACGCGCCCAGTTATGAGTTTCTGCACTTAGGGAAGCCTAAGGCTATGGTTTCTTACCAGATGGTGTAGATTATTTGTCCTTCCAGTCCAGGTGTAGTTTGTCAATCAGAGGTCAAAAACTCCCATGGGCAGTTTTGCCTAATACCACACCTGACATTCAGCTAACGTTTGTCTGCCTTCCATGGGAGCAGAGCTAGAAAGTTCCCCCAAGATCCAGTCTGCCCTGAAGAAAGGAGTTTTGGTCTTTTTGTTGTTAGAGAGACCTGCTGCACATCTGACTCCTATAAAGAGGAGAGGGAAAAAAGCCGGGGAGAGGAGGTGGAGCCTCAGGCTGTAGCTCCGTGCATTCTATATGGCACACCTTTTAACCAGGCCGATGGGGAGTTCTTGAGCTGAAGATGTTCATTAGATAGGTATCCCCACCACGCTAATCAGCTGGGAACCACAGTGGGAAATGTGTCCTCTGCATCAGTACCTTGGTGAATTCAGCACAGCAGCTGGGCCATCCCATGTCCTCTGCCACAGGAGATCTGAATGATGCATTTTCATGGTCACCATGCATCCTTATGTCATTCCTTTTACCCAGAATGTCTTTCTCCCTAACTGTAGCTTCCATCTGCCACCACCATAAAATGCCATGAGAATCCACACATCAAGACTCAGCTCAAAGCCAGAGATCTCAGACACTGTTGGGGCTGGGGGAGTGAAATGGCACAACCACTTGGAAAACCATTTGGCAGTTTGTACTAAAGCTGAACACTTAGCTGCCCTATCTCTCAGCAATTCCACTTCTTGATATACACCCAAGAGAAATGAGTGCTTATGTCAGCAAAAAGACATGTCTTAAAATGTCTACAGCTCTACTCTTAATAGCCAAACAGCGTAAGTGTTTCAAGTATCCATCAACAGGTATATTCAGGCAATGGACACAACAATTTTAAAAAGAATGAAGTGAACTTTCAGACCACATTAAGTAAAAGAAGGCAGACTCAAAAAGGCAGACATATTTCATGATTCCATTTGTATAAAGTCCTAGAACAGGAATACAAACTTATGGTGATGGAAATCAGAATAGTGGTTACCGGGAACGGGGGTAAAGACTGGAATGGACACAGGGACACTTGGGGGTTGCCAACATTGTGGTCTGGATGGTGGCTGCACCGTGGACATTGAGAAAAGTCATCATCCTGCTTACACAGTAGATTAGTACACTTCACTCACCTCTGTGCTTTCTGTATGGCACACCTTGATTAGAAAGGAAGACCACTCAGCACAAGGGCCAGCTCTCCTGAAAACCCAGTTTGTCACACCTACAAAGCCCTAACCCTGCTGTTCCCACCACGGTCTCCAGGGAAGCACTTACCTCTGCAAGTCATTGCTCACAGGCTGGGAGCTCAGTGAGGGTTTGTGACATGTGGGTCACAGCCAAGGGAAAGCTCAGTGAATGGTTCCTTGGCTCCATGAATACATGCATCTCTGCTTTTGTCCAAACTGTTTTTTACAAATTGGGAATCTGCATTATGTGAAACTTTGCCCCCTTTTTTTCTCTTTAACATTGTAATGTGAACACTTTGCCTTGTCACTGATGACTATTCTTTGGAAACAAGACTTTGGTTAGCTAGAGAACGTTGTGTAGAATCACTGGGAAATCAGCTCCTTCCCCCAGGCTCCATGGAGGAGCTGGATCTATGCCCAGCAGCCCAGGCCACCGCTTGACAGCACTGAGTAGTGGCAGCATTTTTTCTTTTACTGCTGCTGCTTTAAAAAAAAAAATTTATTGGTGTTTATGGTGAAATAGACAGATTTTCTGTGTAGTTACATGAGTTTTGACAAATGCATACATCCATGTAACACACATACCCCTACATGATAGAGACCCTCTCTATCATCCCCATATTCATAGGGGGATGAATATATAAATAATTTCTTATGACTCATACATATATGTGTGTATATGTGTATATATATATATATATATATATGGGTATTCATATATAAATATACAGAAGCGATAAGAGCTTATGTAACATTAAGGGCATTTACATTTCTCTATCCTGTTTATTATAAATCTTCATCTTAGCAATCAAGAGCCTGAGAGCTGGGGTCTGGGATACACAAGCAGCTACTAGGCCAAAGCCTGTCACAAGTAACCCAGTGGGTCCCTGGGCCAGAGCTCCTCAGCCTTTGGCCTCTGCTCCTCTTCCTGCGACCCCCACCATGAGTCAGCTATGAGAGCATCCTGCTGGCTGCAGGTGGGGTGGCAGTAGCGGAGTGCCAGGTCTGGGCAGGGGGCCCAGATGGGAACTTAAACCCACAAGGAATGCTTCAGGTGTTCCTCAGCCCCTGACCAGCCTCCAGCTGTTCCCACTCAGCCACAGCCTGATACAATCAGGCTGTCCAGGTGCACCAACCTCTGCTGGACAGTCCACGTGGCCCACAGCTGACGGAAGATGTAGTTAAGCCAGGTTTTCCACCCTTCAGGACAGGAGGGCAGTTTCAGGCCTCCAAGTAGTCCTCTTCCAGATGCAGGGAAGGACAGAAGGGAGGCAGAGATGTACTGCCACCATTGGTCTCTGCAGGAATGCAGCCCTGCACCCTCCCAGTCCACAGTGCTGGTGACGATGATGGTCTGGCCAGGCCCCTGCAGTCAGCACCAGAGGCAGCGAACCAAGGCTGCATCGATCTGTGGACCAGCACTGTGGGCCTCCCTTCAGAAGGGTGCAGGTTGTGGAGCCCAGGTCCCACCCCAGCAACAGCATAAAGCCAGGCTCGCGGTCAGCTCTGGCCACACTGAGCCTGTGGGAAAGCAGGCGGGCAGAGTGAGTTACCTTAAAAGGACGTGGAGTCTGGGATACCCAGGCAGCTACTAGGCTGTGTCATTTCTGTTTTCATTATTTTTATATATGAATTTTTGAAAGCCAAATAAATTCCAATTAACATTTTTAAAAACACACCCCTTCCAAACAGCAGTATAGTCAGAAAGCTGTGTGTGTCCTTTAATCACAGGAGTTTCATTTCTCTTTTCAAAGAAAAAATTTCATGAAGTCACACACAGCTAATTTAGAATTTGAGATAATTCTATCCTGGGTCCTGGGAATAAAAAGTATAAGAAGATGTAATCTTTGCCTCTGGGAGCTTACATCTAGTGGAAATAATCAAATGATGTGTTTTTGAGTGTTGTACTTTCAGACTTTTGACTGGTTCAGGTAGGTTAACCTTTTCCTAGGATTGCTAAATTTAGCAAACAAAAGTAAGGTACACCCAATTCAATTTGAATTTATGATAAACAATATTTTGAAATATTACCTTTTCCTAATGGGGGTGGGGGTGGATTACTGTATAACTGTGAGGCCAATAATCCCTCAGTATCCCCAAACCATTCCCATTTTCCAAGTTCAAATATAGAGACATTGGTGGCAAGGGAAGACTCAACCACACTTCCACTAAAACAAGAAATAGCAACAACACCAAATGCCAGCAAACATGCAGAACAGCTGGGTTTACATTCATTGCCGGTAAGAATGTAAAGTGGTACTCTGTGAAATAGATGAGCAGTTTCTTAAGAAATTGAACATATACTTACCCTATGACTCAGAAATTGGACTTCTGGGCATTTATGCCAGAGAAATGAAAATGATGTTTACCCAAAAGCCTGTACACAAATGTTCCAAGCAGATTTGTTTGCAATAGCCAAGAACTGAAAATGACCCAGATATCCTTCAATGGGCAAATAATTAAACAACACGTGGCACATCCATACCATGGAATACCACTCAGCAACAAAAAAGAGTGGGTTACTGATACATCAACAACTTAGATGGGTCTCAAAGACATTGTGCTGAGTGGAAGAAAAGCCAACCTCCAAAGTTTACCTCCTGGGTGGTTCTATTTATGTAACGTTCCTCTTGAAATGATAAAATTATAAAAGTGGAGAACAGATTTGTGGTTGCCAGGGCTTAGGAATGGGAGAGAGTGAAAGGGGTAGGTGTGATCTTTGTGGTGATGAAACAGTTCTTTACCTTGATTGCTGTGGTGATTGATGAATGTACATGTGATTCACAGGAGTGTGGAATCACACATATTGTACCAATATTAAGTTCTTGGTTTTGATATTGCACTACAATTAAGGAAGCTGTAACTATGGGGGAAACTCGGTGAAGGATACACAGGACCTCCCTGTACTATCTTTGCAACTTCTGTGAATTTATCATTTTTTTTTTCAAAACAGAAAGTGTTTAAGAAATCCTTGGAAGATCTGGGGGAGAGTGCTCCAGGATAGGCCTCAGTTCTGCAACCACCACAATCCCGGAGGCTGCTGCTAGGGCTGTGAGCTAAAGAACCACAAATGGAGTTGGGATCTAGGGATCAGGATGCTCTCAGCAGTGTCACAGCCACCTCTCAACCATCACAAAGCTGGTGACTGGGTAACAGAATCACCGTCCAGCCCCACTCTGCCAGCCTCCCACTCTTGGGACCCAGAAAGCTGGCAAGTGGACACTGAAGCCTGCTCTAGAACACCTCTCATCGCCACCACTTTGCCTGTGAACTGAAAATAGCTAAAAGGCACAGGAGGATGTCCACACAGGAGGACGGCCCTCCCAGGAGTACATCTGAATGGTAGAATCTAATTTGCATCCAGAGCCCAGCTGCAAGGGAGCCTGGGTAATGGAGTGTGCAGCTTTTTGGTCTCAGCAGTGCAGGAAGACTCCGTAGAAGGAAGGCGGGGTGGAGATTGGGCAACCCAATCCCTGACATTCACCATGGTCACTCACCAGAACTAGATGTGCCTTCATGTGGACAGCAGAACTTCCATGTGGGCAGGGCAGAGAAAGGATGCATCCATTCATTCCTGATGTGAAAATCATCCAAGATGCCTGGGATCCTACCCCACTGTTGTATGTGGGTGCATGATAACAGGACTGTGGAATCACACATATTGTACCAATGTCAAGTTCTTGGTTCTGATATCACACTACAATTAAGTTTTAAATGAAGCAGCAGTCATGAGAACTGGCAATCAGATGTCCAAGAAGCAGGGCACCTTAACATTCCCTTTAGGCACAGCATCTTGGGTCATGCTCCCTGTACCCAAGGTGATGCCTAGTGCACCACTCACCTGACACATGGACACAGGGAGGCAAAGCCCTGTTTCCTGGTGTAATTCAGAGTCTGTGGTGTACAATGATCCCATGGGAAATGTTGCTGGGAAAACAAACACAGAAGACTGTAAAATCCATATCCTCATATCCATCAGCTTTAAGTGACTTTACTAATACCTACACCTTGAGGGGCCCTGGGCCTCCATTCCCAGGTGCACCAGGGACCCTCCAGAGCTCACCCACCCCAGCCTGCTCTGGGTCAGGGGACATGCCTGTGGTGGACCTCTCACTCACCTTCTACTTTCTCCCTGCACCTGCCTCAAAAGGCCAGATGTTCTCTAGGAGTCCTTACAAGGAGCTAGGTCCTACAGTGGAATTTTGGACACTAGCAATAGGTCAGCAGGGTCAAGTTAGACTTTCCTAGCATTTCTCAGATCCTCACATGTGGCTCCTTCTCCATCTACAAGTAAGCCTGCTTCTTTCTTGCAGGCCAAGCCCCTTCCCATCACCAGCACCCCTCCAACCAACACCACCTCTGGGGTTCCCTGGGCCTGACTCCACCATCTCCCTGAGAGGCACTACCTCCTCTGCCCTACAGCCTCCCAGGGTGGACACTCCTGCAGTCCAGTGCTCTCCCCTACCCAGCCTCTTCCAAGTACACTGGACCCTTGACCCCAGTGCTATTTTCCTGCACAAACTGGGTGCTACCTCTGCTGCTGTGTGAGATGTGTCGAGTTTCCACCTAGAGACATCTTCCTCTCTGGTGACATTGCCTTGGAGACTCAGGGATTCTTCCCTGGTTGCTTGGACAAAACCACCCAATGTGCCCCGCCCAGAGGTCCCAGAGGCTGAGCTCTCAGCCACCCCATAAGCCTTCAGCCCCTAGACCCAAATGCCATATCTCCAGACTGCCAAATGAGCACCCCCTGAGCAATGCTAACCAGGACCCAAGATAGGTCAGGAGAGGCCTCAGGCAGCACCTGTGCTGGTCCAGGGTGGGGAAGTGGGGGCAATGGAGGAGGAAGAACTCCACAGTCCCTTGGAGAGATCGTAAGAAATCCCCTTGGGCTTCCTGCCCATCGAAGAGGCCTTGGGCCAGAGTAGGTGCATGAGTGAGGGAAGGAAAGACCCATGTCAGTAGCAAGGTAGGCTTCAGAGCCAAAACCTCCTGCCTGGGCAAAAGGAAAATGGGTGGTCCAGGAGGGGGATGGAGGAAGTGCACCTGAGCCAGCCAGCATGGCTCAGAGGGCCGGTGGTGGCCGTTCACACACCCGTGAGCCCAGGCCAAGGGGGAACTATCTCGATATTCACAGAGGTCCCTCCTGCACTTCTGTGTAGGCAGGGCTCTTCCTTTGACCCCCTTTGCCAACAATGCTTTGTCTACCCTCCCAGGCTTTCTGTGTCCTCAGTTACAAGAGACATGCTTCCCAAACACAGTACCAAGACACACGCTCTGACAGCCAGACAGAATATGGAATATTGGGCCTCTCTCCAAGCATCGGGAACCTGGGGCCACCACAGCATGGCCTCTTACTCCTTCCAAAGTCTAAGTTCTCTGTGGGAAATGTGCTTGATAATAATTGTTGAATAAGTGAATAAACGAATGTAAGAAGGAAGGAAGGATGCTATAGTGGTTGGGACCATGGCTCTGGAATCAAACAGACCTGGGTTCAAATCCCAATTCCATCAGTAACCTGCTCTGTGACCTTGGGCAAGTGACCCACCCTCTCTGAGCCTTAGTTTCCTTGTCTGTCAAACGGGAACAATAATGCCTACCTTGTGGAGTTGTGAGAGTTTGGTATAAGGAAGTATCTAAAGCTTCTGGCATAGCGTGAGACCACTGTAAATGTTCAGAACATGCCAGGTGGTGCTTATGACTGTCTTAGAGCGAGCTCCTCCCCAGGCAAGCTCAATGTTGCCCATTCACAAGGCAGTGCAAGGGTGACAGATGTTCCAGTCAGGGACGGAGAGACAGGCTTCTCACAAGCAGAGTGGTTTATCGTTTCCATCATACCCTTCGAAACATCATGTGAGCTGCGCAATCCGTCATCCCACACCACCTGCTTCCACCACCAGCCCCATTAGGATAAGTTACAGCTCCTGGCAGCTGCCTCCCTGGAGTCACCCAGGCTCTCTTCTGTTGAGGAACAATGACCATATTTCTTTCCACCAACAGGGGGCAGCATTTTCTGTCTGAGATTCCTGCAGGGAGCAGATGTGGCTTCCCCACCCAGCTCTCTTCCCTAAGTGGACCTGAAATCTCGAGACCCCCTCTGGCACTCCTCAGGGGAATCGTTCTTTCCCGCAGCTCTCCAAAGCAAAGAGCCCTGAATTATAGCATTTACTGATTTCCATGGTGTAAATACTCCTACCGTGGCAGATTCCAGGCCACCAGTGTGACCACATTGAATGCGGAGTTGAAAAGTGCACAATTACATGGCATTTCCACCATACAGATATACAATAGATGTAAAACCTCAAGATCATAGACGATAGCAAAATGTAGTAAAATAATTGTAAGAGGTATATTTTGAATACTTATTTTGTTTCAATGTAATTTATTTAATAGTAACTATATATAGTTTTTTTTTCCTCCTTTTTAATACCCCTTAATTGGGATATGCTTTTTAAAAAAATAATGAGGCTGGACCTCACTATATTGCTCAGTCTTGAACTCCTGAGCTCAAGCAATCCTCCTGCCTCAGCCTCCCGAGTAGCTGGAATTATAGGTATGCACTACCATAGCCAGCATACAGTTCAATTTTTTAATAATGGCTGTACTTTACAACATAAGCTCTTGCAAGTCAATATGAACAGACTACAGTATTTCACTGTGGCAGGCTGAAACAATGGCCCTCCAAATATATATTCGCTTCCTCGTCCCCAGAATCTATGAATACTACCTTAAATGCAAAAGAGTGAATATTATTTTACTTGGTGAAAGCGATATCTAGGAGGCTCTTACCCTGTATTATCCATGTGGGCCCCAAATCTAATAACAAGTGAAGTGTCCTTGTATGAGAAAGGCAGCTGCTCCCATCTGTGTGGCCTCAGGCAAGACACCCCTCTGTTCTTCCTCCCCACTGCCCCTGCTATTGGTTCCTTATCTGTAGAGTAATGATAATAAAATTGGGGTTGTTCTAAGTCATTCATGAGATAATCTGTGTAAAGCCTTTAGCATTAGTTACTACAGGTCTTTCCAGAATCTCATAGTCACACCCTGGGGGCCAGATGTGATTCAGAATTCTGACTCTTTCAGCTTAGAAAGGTAATATGGTGCACATGCATGCATTATGCAGTGCCCCCAGCAGAGTCCAAGGTTACACCCAATAGCCAAACACATTGCTATTCCTGCAGCAAGGTGTATAATTATTCATACCAAGTGGGACATGAGTTTTAGCACCAAACATACCAAAAATGCTTTTGATTTTCATGCTCTGGGGAATTGTTGGAATTGCATCTAGAAGGTTATGAACCTGTGTTACTATCATCACGCACCCCCCCACCCCCACCACCCCAGCTTGGAAACCATCATTTTTCTTGCAACACCTCATTCATTTGGGGATGCAGGAGGAGCAGATTGGACCTGGAGTGAGGTCTGTCTGGCAGCATGGAGGCTGGCAATTGTGATGGCCTCAGCAGAGCCTCTCAGGCCAATCTGCCTGAAGTGGAGCATAACCCCCATCACAACCCACCCACTGCAGACCCATGGCAGCTCCGACCTTCACAGCCTCTTCTAAGGTTGGTGGGAACATCCTGATTCCTGGCTGTTTGCTTCACTTGGCACACGGTTCTCATTCCAGAGGGAACAGCTGGGCAAGCAGCAAGCACTGAGGCGAAGAGGCTTTCTTGAAAAGGATAAAAGTGGATGACATTTCCAGTTTGCGGGAAAGACACTGTTAATAGATTAGACAGAACTTTAACAAGCAAAGAGCCAGATGCATGTGAATGTGCTTGGCCAGGAGTTGCAGTTTGAGTCACCCCGGTCCAGAGAACTGGCCCTGCCACATCATTGACAGACAGTTCTTCTTCTGCTAATACTTCTGAATCCAAAGAGGAACTGTCAGGGTGGCTGGGCTGGGGAGTGTGGTGGGAGCATCTTTTAGTGGTGGTCTTGGAGGCAAGACTTGCTAACACAGTTCCTGCTGGGCTAGAAGTCTCACCCTTCTACCTACAAGCTGGGTGACCTTGGGTGACCCTATGTGCCTCATCTGTAAAATGGAGATAATAACAATCACACCTCCCCTTGTGGTTGTTGTGAGGTTAAAAGCTTTGATCCACATAAACCACCGAACCCAGGGAGGCTGCCCTTCTCACACCTCCAGGGAGGAAGAGGTCAGCATTGATGAGAGTGCCCAGAAATGGTGTCCTTGCCAGGTGGGCTAAGGAGGCAGAGCTGCGACACAGTGCCACAAGTGGTTGGTATGCCCTGGGCAGACTGAGATGGGCTACTCCACATCTGCCCACACACCCCCCTGTCTGTGCTGAGCAGACCTGTTCACATTAGCATACAAAAGGACTTAGTGCAAGCTGGGGCCTTGCTCACTGACAGGAAGAGTCTGGCTTGGTCTTTTCAAAGAGAAATTCTATACACACATACACACACACACACACACACACACACACACACACACACACACAAACCAGGCAACCCTGCCAGGCAGATTTCCTCTCCTTTCTTAGGTGGCTACCCCTGCCCCATTTCAGTGTAAAGGAATCCTGCTCTCAGGATGTCGCTATTTGCCTGCCCTTCCAGGTGCCAGGCCACTGCCTTCACCTGCATTACCAGCTAACTTTGTTTAGTCCTCACAGCCAGGCAGTGTGGAAATCAACAAAGACTAGCCAAGGGAGAACAGACAGGGGCTTGCTACGGCAAGGGGTCAGCACCATCACTTGCATTTGGCAGGGACTCCGAGGCAGGCACAGACTGGGAAAACTTTATAATGAGAAAGGGAAGGCTCCAGGTATACCCTGATTGGAGGCTGCTGACATGGGAAACACTGGAGTGAGCAAACCAGAGGTAGGGCATCCTAAGTGATTGGTTAGGGGAGCATATTTGGCTTTCTCTGATTGGTCCTGAGTTGAAAGTAGGGACAAAAATAAGGAAGCTGGCAGTCACTGATTAGGCCCTCACTCTACTGGGCAGATTGTGGTTGGGTCTCTGAGCTGGTTGCTACAGAGGTGGTGGCATAGAGTTTTATTATTATATGTAGTTTGGGCATTGTCCACTTGCACGTTCAGTCTCTCAATGGCAAGACAGGATGAGATCTGTTTATTTCAAAGGGGCTGGTTAAGTCACAAAGTAGAATGAGTCTCATCCTGATGTGAGAGCCCCCACTCTGCTTTGCAATGAAATGTTTCCTCGTATTCCTTTCTCCTTGCCATTTTCTAGGATGACAAGTGTCTCACTCCCAACTCTGGATGCGTGTAGGTCTACCAGGCAGAAGGCAAAGCAGAGGCTGTCAAACAGAAACTGGTTGAGACCAGGAGGAGCAGCATAACTTGATAAGGGTATCCTTGGAAAGAACTGAGAACATAGGCAGAAGAGGAGAAAAGACAAAAAAGTCAAAGTCAAATAAGCAATGGTGACCTTAAGAGAAATGCCTGAACTCTCTAAATCCAAACTCCCTTTTTCAAGGGCCTGAGTATTGCCCAGGACACTTCTATATTTCTATCTCCACTGAGTATGCCAGGCTTGTTGGTTGACTGCAGGCCCCTGCTACCTATCTCCCACACTAGTCTGTAAAAGATCTAGCAAAAGGCACAGGGCCCAGATGGTTTTGTGGGGGAGTTCTATAAAACTTTTGAAGAATAAATGGTTCTTATTTAAACTGTTACAAAGCATTAAAAAGATAATAAAATTCTGAATTTATTTTACAAGGTATGTTTACATTTAATAGTAAGACAGCCATGGAATGCCCAAAAAGGAAAACCTTATGAATGTATATGCAAAGATTCTAAAAATAAAATTGGCAAGTTAAGTTCTGCAGTTCCCAAAATACTAAATACCTCAGCCAAATTGGTTTATTCTGAGAATATAAAGATTATTCAGCATTAGAAAATAAAGGAGAAAAACTATGTTTCCAATAGATATTGAAAAGGGAACTTACTAAAATTCAAACCCCATTCTTGATTTTTGAAAAATTCTTTTAGTAAGCTAAGAATAAAAAGAAACTTCCATAACTTGATGAAAGATATTTATCAGAAATGATTTCTTTAAACTTGATATTAATAGAAACCACAGACTTGTTCCCATTAAAGTCAGGAATAAGATGTGGATGCCTACTATTGTCACTATTATTAGTCAATTTTCCTCCAGAAAGCTCCCAACCCAAGTAATATAAATAAATGAGAAGAGTATACACACACACACACACACACACACACTTGTAAAATATAAATGTAAAATTATCATTTTTTATTTCTGAAAATATTATTTTCAGAAATAAAAAGAAAAAAATAAATAAATAAAAAGAAAATATTATTTTCTACTTAAAAACTGTTAAGATATGGATCTAAAAGTCTATCAGGAAAAATCTAATCAAGAAAAAGAACTCATTCTCAATGGGAATAAAAATTACAAACCCTCTTTAAAATGAGTTTATTTGTTGAAGAAAACTTTAAAATGTTACTAGAGGCAGAGTGTGGTGGCTCATGCCTGTCATCCCAGCACTTTAGGAGGTTGGGATGGGCAGATGCCTTGAGCTCAAGAGTTCAATACCAGCCTGGGCAATATGGCAAAATCCCACCTCTACAAAACAATACAAAAATTAGCCGGTCGTGGTGGCCCACCTGCTGTCCCAGCGACTCAGGCGGCTGAGGTGGGAGGATCACTTGAGCCCAGAAGTTTTAGGCTGCAGTGAGCTGAGATCTCGCCACTGCACTCCAGCCTGGGTGACAGAGCAAGAACATGTCTCCGTAAACAAAACAATGTTGCTAGAGATTATCAAAGAATAGGTGGATTGATAAACCAAGTCCCTGAATAAGCGCACTCAATATTCAAATACGTCAGATTCCCACGATTTATAAATTCATATAATCACAATGAAAACACCAATGGGATTTTGAGGATGGTAGGAGAGGGATGGCATACTTCATAGACCAACATTATCATATGAAAGACAAATGCACACAAATAGCCAAGGAAAAAAACTAAAGTAGAATAAAAATATGGGAATTCAGCCTACCAGATAGCAAAAAAAAAAAAAAAAAGAATAAAGTAACTTTAATTAAAACACTGTCATACTAATGCAGGAACTGAAAAAAAGTATCAGAACAGAGTTCACAAATGGACCTCCCTGCATAATGGGAACTTAGTATCTGATAAGAGTATACTTTCACAGCAATAGAGAAAGAATAGACTATGGAATAATGTTACAACTATCTATCTATTTTAGGGGAAATGAAACTTGTTAGATCTATAACTCACACCATTCTCTGCTTAAAACCACATAAAATAAAGGCTTTATATATTAATTTAGAGGGAATCTATATGAAAATACATAAAAAATACTATGTAATATATAAGAAATACTGTATAATACTAGAATAAAACACAGATTATTTCAATATTCTTGAATATTTCAATATTCAAGAATCATTCTTATTCTTCAATATTCTTCAATATTCTTGAATTATTTCAATATTCTTCAGCCTTTCTAAGAAGGCATGAAACTCAAAAGACTTAAAGGGAAAGTTAAACTTAACTACGTGGAAATTAACATTTTACACTTGGCAAAAGACTTTATAAACAAAGTTAAGAGACAAATGACAGGCTGGAAGAAAACATTTACAACATGTCAACAGAGAAAAGACTGATTACACTCAATAGAGTCAAAGATTTCCAACAAATTAACAAGCAAAGGGCAAACATCTTAAAAGAAAAGGGCAATGCAGAAAAGAAAATACAGATGTCTGGTAAATAAGTGGAAAGATGACTTCATTCATGATTAAGGAAATACAGTTTTTAAAATAGGTTTTCCTACTAAATAGACCAAAAAACCCCAAGAAGTCTGAGAATGTCAAGTGTTGCTGAGGGTGTAGAAAAATAATCAGTTCCCTATCCTCTTGGGAGAAATGTAAATTGACACGACCATTTCAGAGAGCAAGTTGGCAGTTTCTCTCAGAATACTGAATGCCCATACCTTTTGCCCTAGAAATTCTCTTATTGAAATCTATCTTGCAGAAATACTTGCACGCCACACAATCATGTTCATGGCAGCAACGTCTGCAATTGATGAAAAATTGGAGCTACTTAAATCTTCATGATCATGGGACCAGCTAAATAAAATATGATACATCCCTGCCTTGGAATTTCATGCAGTCACCAATAAAGATCGGGTCCATTCAGATGGCTGATACAGAATATAGTTAATAACGTAAAAATATAGTGAGTTGACAAAGAAAGCATGACCACACTTTTATTTTTTAATGTGCATGTACTGTGACCATGAATAATACAGATATATACACACCCCTAGGGGGTTTGTGGGACTTGTGCTTTTTGTCATATGCTTCCATTATTTATGAATTTGTTTTTATTGAGCATGTATTACTTTTAGACTTTTATAATTTTTTTAATTAAAAAACATAACTGAGTAAGAATTGAAAATTTAAAGTCTATAAAAACAAATGCATTATGTTTCATTTCTTAGGCCTGAGTCTACTTTCAGCCGGAGCAACTCTAGGCTGTAAGTGTAGGTCTATGAAGATGGTACGTTTATTAGGTTTGTCTCATGTATCAGATCCAGGCGTGCACACATGCCACACACACCTCTACACCTCTACACACACAGCGTTCTCCAGCTCTGCACATGCATGTGCATCACACGTTTTTACAGTATCTTGAGCAGCTCACAGAACATTTTTGAATGTATTTGATAGTATAAGGGAATAAACAGCCAGAACCAAGCAGGCAGAAAGGAATGCATTGAGATTGAAAACCCATGCTACCTCCACCATCCCAGGCAGGTGAAATATCCTGTGAGATCCTTGTGCCCCTCTGGCTTCTGGCTTTTCCTATTTGTCCTCAAGATGAGTGAGTCCAAGAAGATGTGGCCATCAGGATGGATGCTCATTGACTCAGGGCCGTGGCGAGGCTCACGGGTTCTCGTCCCTGAAGAGTGTGAGGTTGTGCTTCCGGATATGTTCCAGCAGCACCTGTCCTCGCCGCTCCAGGGTCTGGAGGACCTGCTTCAGCCCCTGGGCCCCACCTTGGCTTTCCCAGAACACAGGGTCCATCTGCAGCGACTTAAGCAGCATGTTCTGTAGACACCCTGATGTGAGAACCCTCACAGCAGACTCAGGAAACCTGGAGTGAAGGCCCCAGAGCCCCACAACAGAAAGGAAAAGCAACAGTGGTCTCAGAGAGTTTCAATAACAGGCGAAGCCAGATGGCCAGAGCTTGCATAGCTGAGGAAATCTGGCAAAGTCACCCTGCAAACTCCCCTGGCCTGTGCCCCCTATCTCATTAACAGAGGACCCTTTGCCTGGCTCTGCTGTGAAGGCAGGGGATAGACCTTTCGGATGGGTCCCATACTACACAGAAGCTAGGTGAATAAATTCTGCTATCCCAGGCTCCACTTGGCAAATGCAGGGCCAGAAAAAAATCCTAGGAAGGCAGAGCTGCCTGACAAGAGTGAGTAGGGAGGGATAGACTCTCCCACCTAGAACAAGGGAAGGGCTAGCCTTCCCACACCCCAGCAACGAAGCTAGTATTCTGCAGGCACAGGAGGCCCTCTGGATATAGGGGTAGACCCTGCAACTGTAACCCCTGTCAGCTTTCCCAGGGCTTTCCACCACTGCCTAAAGTTCTGATCCAATAGCTTCTGTCTGACGGACCGTGACCTTCTCAGGGCCACAGTTCAAGGTCCCATGGCTTGTAGCAAGGCCATCAGGTCTCAGTCCCATGAACTTCCACCCAACCCTTTTGACCCTCACCCATCTATGCCCTCCAGCAGCCGAAAGTTCAGCTTGTCCTCAGGGTGCTGAAGGTTGCCGGCATTATCGATGTAGACCAGGTGAGATGGATCACTGCTCCGGACCTCAGGGAAGAGGGTGGACAGAGACAGAGGTGGGTAAGGGTGCAGCTACGGCTGGCACCTATGGACTTGTTCAAGATTAAGTAGCCGAGAGCCCTGAGCTGTCAGTTCCCCAGTCCTTCCTAACAGTCCTCACAGCTAAGCGCATACTCTATGCTGAGCACTGTGCTAAGTGCTTCCAGGCATCCTCTCAATGAATGCTTCCAGTAACCTTAGAAAACAGGTACTAGTGTAAGCTCTATTTTACAGAAATGGTGGCACCTTCTTTAAGTTAGGCAATTTGCACAAAATCACACAGCTAGTAAGTAGCTGGCCTGTTTCAAACCTGGACCCATAGGGCTAAGCCACAGCACCACTGCTAAATTGCAAGGCTGAAGGACTGATCCTGTTTTGGTGGCTGAAGGGGTGAGGAGCATGGCTGGGAATCAGCAGGTGCTGAGGTAGCCTCCTCCTGGGTTCCATTGGCTGTGCGAGGCATCACACATGTGCGGCTCACACATGTACACACTCACTCACCCCTTTGTGCCACCTGTGCCTATGCCCTGGGCATCCCCTGAGCATCAGTGAGAGCACACAGTGGTGTCCTTTATCCTCAAAAACTACTGACCATACTCTGTTTCTACAGAAGAGTTTAGCAGCTCCTAAACCTTTTCAAAACTAAAATCAGCACCAGAGAATTCTTTAGTACTTTAAAGAATATGGTGTAGTTTGTATATGGGAGGCCATCTCTCCCGGCCCCCACTCCCATGCACACACTCCATTCCCACATCGTCTCCAAAAGTCCATGGACATTTCCCACAATCCTCTCCAATGACCTAGGCTTAAGCTATGAGCCTCTGTTTCCAGGACCTTAGCTTCCCCTCTCTCTGCCTCTTCTCCTTTCGCACCCCACTGCACATGTCAGGATCACCTTTTTCTCAAAGGGTGATTCTTTCCTCTGGAAACTGCTGTCCTAAAAGGTCTGTGAAAAGCCTGCTCACCAGGGGTAAACAATGGCGATTAGAGTTTTGCCTGTCCAGGGGATGCTTACCTTTGACCAGGGAAAAGGAGAGATGGCTCTGGAGGCAGGGGAGGAGAATTCCCAGCACCACCACTAGGCAATCCTGGTATCTGGGTGATGTGGCCGGCCTGAAGCCCAGCCCTGGACACCAGGCTGACAGCTCCCCTCCAAGAGCAAAGGGAGGCTGCAAGGACACTGTGCTTCATTGCAGGACAACATAGAGAAAGCCTTCCCTGGGGTAAGCACCTTGCTTCTTATGCAAAAGAAGTGGCTATTCTGCCCTCTCCAGTGGCCTCAGCACATTGCTTCCCATCCTCGACTCTAGTTTTGATGGGAGCAGCACCAGCCTGTGAGCCACTGGGGTCTTGGGTTCATGCCCTAATGCTGCTACCATATGGCCCTGGAGATTCCTTTCGCTCCAGACTGCAATTCCTCATTTACTGGCACAGTGAGGATGCTGACTAGACACACCATTCTCGAACTCCACTTCCAGGAGCCCCAGTTGTTCCCTGGAGTCTCTTAGGGGCAGTGGAGACAGTGAAAACAGGGCTCCAGCCCACACCCCACACTCCACCTCAGAGGCTTTCTTAAAGCTCCATTTTGTTAGTTTTATATATTGCAGCCTCCTGGAAATATTCAAACAACTGGTTCTGCTGCTAAAAAGAACAAGACTGGGAAACCCCAGCATCAAATGATCTCTGAAACTTGCTAATAGCAACTTCTGAAGGAGACAGGCAGACCCAGGTCTGGGGTGACCAGGGGATGGTGTGGAGGGGACATACCAGGATGTGGACCAGCCGCAGCTCAGCCGGGTTCCAGCATTTATCTCGGAGCCCCTCTTGCACACAGGGGTCTGAGGGTTCAGGCTCGAAGCCACAACAGTAGCGATCCAAGCGGTCGTGGACCTGTGGAGACACCCAGGCTTTGGTGGGGCGCAGCAGGGGACCTGCCTCCACCAGGTACAGCATGGAGGCCACCTGACCTGCTGTTTCCTACATGACCCTGGGGCCACAGCAGGGGTGACCCTCAGTGGTTCTCTGTGCTGGTCATTACTAAATGGGGCTTCCGCTTTCCTCCTCTGGCCAGCTCACTCTGCACACCAGGAGCTGTTTACTCATGCCTCAGCCCAGTGTAGATTTTCACCCAGTGCCCACAGTTTAACCTACACCATTGCTCTTGAGCTCTAGCGTGGCACCACTGGGGCTCTGAATGCTGACTGCCTGCCTGTCTACTTCGGTAGACTCCACATCACTCTATTTTTTCTTTAAGCAGCAAATGCTACACCAGGGATTCCTCCCTTCTTTAGAGGTGCAAGTCCTTTAATGATCATCTCAAGAGCTCCAAGTGGTCAGCTCTTTCACCCTGCAGCAGGCCTGAATCAAGCCGGGGAAGGATGAGGGCATCCTTAATGTGGTGTGCGGTCAGTTCTGAAGAGCTTTGCCACCCTTCCCCTGCATAGGCACATACAGATGACAACCACAGCATTTAAGAGTGGATCAGAGGATTCCTAGAATCACACGTCCCACTCATTTGCTTCAAGGATGCTTTTTTCGGAAGGAAAGAGTCACAGACTGCAAGTCAGCAATAGGAAGAATCGTGGGTCTGCCCCAGCCCTGACCTACATGAGGATAGAGCTACTGTGAGCATCTAGGACAAAGAGGTTGAGGATGGAGAGACATACAAGCGGAAGTGGTAGAGTCCTCTGGGGATGGTTAGGGGAGGGCTTGCTGTGGGGAGAAAGACAGGAAAGGGAGAATAGTTGAAGTGAGGAGTTGGTTTGGAGAAGGCTTGGGAGATGCTAGTAAGTGGATGAAAGATGAAGTGAGGGCAGCTGAGCAGCAGGGAATCACCAACACACACAAGATGTGTGAGCCAGGGAAAACTCATTCTTTTTTCCTTTTACAAAGGAAACTTGGTTTGATGTAATACCTTGATGAGTGCTTAGGGTAGATGGTGAAATCCCAGGAGGTCTGGATGTGGAGGACTTGCTTTTCATGGGACAAGAAGAAAAGTTAGTTTCTTGCTGTGGAAGGGGGAAGACAGAGGAATGGAGACTGTGAAGGGAAGCAGGAGGCAGCAGGAGGCTGGCGCTGTGAGATGTGCCCTCTCGTTAGTTCTCTATCCTTCAGTAAAGCTGCCGCTCTTGTGAAATGTGTGGTGGATACTGAGCTTTGAGTTCAGGTTTGGTGTGGGGCAAATCAAGGTAGTGCTCATGGCACATGAAAGAGAAGGAGTCCATCCACTACTTGGGATTTGTCCAAACACTAGGAAAGGCTCCAGACTTCACAGATTATGGGACCAGGGGTTTTAGTCATTTTCTTAAATCTTCCAGGTGGTGATAAAAGTCAGTGAGGAGGCCTTGCGGACTTCTGGGCTCTACCAATCAGGACAGTGAATCACATAGGTACCTAACACTCAGGCTGCAAAATGTACTAAGTTCCTGAAAGAGCCTGATTTGGGAAAGACCTAGATTGGACATTCTGATCTCATCTTTGCAAAATGGCCAGTCTGAATTAGAAAGCCTGGGAACACCACTGAAAAGGAAGACATCAGCCTGGGAACCTGGAAACCCAGTATGAAGGGAGCAGAGCAGACCTCATTTCAAGAAAATTGTCATTATTTGACCTGTCTGGTGATTCCCTAGTAAACGCCACTGAACGGCATGGCTTTTTTGGTTGCCCAGCACTAAAAGCCTTTTCCTAAAAGGGTAGAGGACATTTGTTGAAAACATTTACTGGCAAATGTTTCAGCAGCATGGTTGTCTGAGGCAAATGGATCACAGTTGGGACAAACAATAGATTAACCAAAAAGCTTTAAAAGGAAAAGATACGAAATGAAATGTCCAAGGGGCTGTCAAAATCTCCAAAATGTTCCTGGAAGTCGGGAAGGCCACATACACATGTGTAGGACTGTGCACATGTTCAGGAAAAAACTGGAAAGACCCTAAGCTCTCACCTCTGGCTGACCTTGAGACATGTACAAGCATGAGTGAAGGCAAAAGCAGATTTGTCAATTGCATAGATATGTGTTGGATATGCCTCAAGAGACACGGAGCCCTTTGGCAAAGAGTAGGAGACTTATTGGTTTCAGAAATTCATTAAAATCTCCTGCTCAGTCATCAGCTGATCACTGAACTAACTGAGAAGAAATTTCAGTGGCCATATAAAATAAAGAACGCAGATGAATATAGAATTTGTTCATAAAAACAAAACAAGCAAATAACAAAGAAAATAACTACAAACAAAAATAACTACAACAAAGAGCAACAACAAAAATCCTCTGGAAAAGAAGAATCTGATTTTCAGAGTGGCTACTTTACATTAATACTCTGTTTTCAACAAAAAAAAAAATATGAGACAGTCAAAGAAACAAATATGGCCAATATGCATGAAAAAAAGAAATCCATCAAAATTGTTACTGAGGAAGCCCAGGTGTTGGAGAAAAAAATTAAATTAGCTATTTTAAATATGTTCAAAGAACTAAAGGAAACCAGGCCTAGAGAAGTAAAGTATGAGAATGATACCTCACCATATAGACTGCATCAGTAATGAGACAGAAATTATAAAGAGAAACCAAATATAAATCATGGAGCTGAAAAGTACAATAACTTTTAAAAACTCACTGAGAGGATCAACAGCAATTATGAGCAGGCAGAAGAATGAATCAGACAACCTGAAGATAGGTCAACTGAGATTATTAAGTATGAGAAATAAGAAAAAAAATGAAGAAAATAAACAATGCCTCAGCGACTCATGTAACACCATTAAGTGTATCAATATATGTATAAGAGGAGTTTTAGAAGGAAAGGAGGAGGATATGAAAATAATATTAGAATAATTAATGTCCAAAACCTCCCCAAATTTGGTGAAAAGCATTGATCTACACATCCAAGAGGTCCAGTGAACTCCAGTAAGATAAACTGAAAGAGGCCAGGCGCGGTGGCTCATGCCTGTAATCCCAGCACTTTGGGAGGCCGAGGCAGGTGGATCACGAGGTCAAGAGATTGAGACCATCTTGGTCAACATGGTGAAACCCCGTTTCTACTAAAACTACAAAAAATTAGCTGGGCATGGTGGCGCGTGCCTGTAATCCCAGCTACTCAGGAGGCTGAGGCAGGAGAATTGCCTGAACCTAGGAGGTGGAGGTTGCAGTGAGCCGAGATGGCGCCATTGCACTCCAGCCTGGGTAACAAGAGTGAAACTCTGTCTCAAAAAAAAAAAAAAAAGATAAACTGAAAGAGACCTACACCTAGTATAAAACTGTCAAAAGCCAAAGATAGAGAGAATCTTAAAAGCTGAAGGAGAGAAGTCACTCATCACATAAAAATGATTCTTTCAAAGAATAATTTGATATCAGATTTATCAAAAACCATGGAAGCCAAAAGGCAGAGGAATAACATTCAAAGTGTTTAAATTAAATTTAAAAAAGAGAGTCTGTCAACTAAGAATTTTATATACAGCAAAACTATCCTTCAAAAATTAAGGAGAAATTAAGACATTAACAAAACAACAGCAGTTCATTGTCAGCAAGCCTGTTCAACAAGAAATACTGAAAGGAGGCCTTCAGGCTGAATGAAAGGAAACTAAGTAGTAACTTGAATTAATATCAAGAACTAAAAAGCTCTGTTCAAGGTAACTACATAGATAAACATAGAAGACAGTATACATGTATTTTTTTGATCTGGACTTCTTTTTTTCCCCTCTGATAAAAAAAAAACTGCTTAAAGCAATAATTATAATCTATGCTGATGGGCAAAAAATGTATAAAGATGTAATCTGTGACAAGAATAGCATAAAAGTGGGAGGGGGACAGATTTACATAGAAGGAAAGTCTTTTTACATTATTGAAATTAAATTGCTGGTAATCTGACCTAGATTGTTATAAATCAAGATGTTAATGGTATTCCCAGGGCAACCACGAGAAAATAACTACAGTTCTAGTCACCAAGAAATCTCATAAAACCAGATGTCAAGAAACTAGACAGCATTCAATAGTCCCAAGTACTGTCCCCAAACATTATTTTCTCTATTTTTACAGTTAAACATGGAGAATTCACACCTCAGGTCTAGACAGGCTGAGGGCATTTCTGTGAGGCCACATTAGGTAGCAATAGACCAAATGGATTAAATACATCCACTGATTCTAGTAAAAAAGCAAGTTAAGCCCAAAGGCCAATGCACAAAGCCCAGAAGATTGGTCCAACTTGGCAAAGAACCACGGCCCTGTTCATGCAATGAGCCTATTAGCAAGACCTCCTGAGAAGGACTCTCTTTACTGCTTTGGCCTCCTGAACTTTGGGTTACAAATGCCTAATTTTCCTTCTTTCCTGTAGTACCTGATTATGAAAAATTTCGAGCATATAGCAAATTTGAAATAATTTTATGGTGAATACCCATATACCCATCACCAAAAATCTACCATGAATATTTTATTATACTTTATGACATATATAACCATCTACACATCCCTATTCCCATCCATTAAGTCATCTTATGTCTTACTTTTTATGCATTTCAAAATAAGTTACAAACATCAGAAGTTTCCCCCTAAATTTTCCCCTAAATACCTTGGGATTTGTCCAAATCCTAGGAAGGGCTCTAGACCCCACAGGTTATAGGACCACTCATTAGATTTCCTGGTTTTCCTATAAAAGAACCAATCTTCCCTACTAGATACAGTCTGGTGGCATTATCAATCCAAGTACCCTGCACACCTAGCCATGAAGTGAGGATGGGGTCCAAGCTTCCCTAACCCTATATCCTCCATCCTTACCCTGACTCTCCAGGCTTCCCTTTTTATTCCATTCCCTGAAGTCCTTAATGTCTTACCAAACATAGATTCTTCTGTTGCTTATGTTAACCAGAGTTAATCTCTGTTGCTTGCTTAGACTCAAACTCCCTCCAAG